GTGAGTGACCCTTGTGTTCTTGAGCTATTTGTGAAGAGAAAGGAGCCATTCTTGATCTTGTGTGTGTTATTTAGCAAGAAGAAGGAGACCCTAGGCAAGAGGAAGCAAAGGAGGTTGCTATTTCGTGGATTTGGAGCTTAGATCATCACTCTAGAGGTATTATCTCGGACCATTTTCTGTTTAGTGAAGCATGATGCAATTTAGGGCTTGTGGTGGTCATTTATGGGATGATTTGATGCCCATTGGTTCCCTCTTTGAGTTGAGGCCATGGATCTGGATCCATAGAGGTCCAGAGAGCCTCACTCATCAAGCTTTATGAGTGACAATAGAGTCTTTGACCTTGTGTTGTAGTATTTGAGTCATAAACATCATATATGGTCATATAGAGGTTGTATGTGCATCAAGATTGTAACTTTACGTGCTAAATGAGCTTGGAGGGACTGGATCTATGGATTAATGAACTGGATCTGACCTTTAGAGCAAGATTGAGTCAGTGCATGGCATGGACTCGCCGAGTCCGAAGAACAGACTCGGCGAGTAGCATGAATGTTGCCCGACCACACTGTGAGTGGCCTCGCCGAGTTGGGAAAGGTGGACTCAGTGAGTCAAGGGGGAGTCAGAATGGACAGGTGGACTGAGTCTAACTGGACTCGCCGAGTTGTTCTTGAGACTCGGCGAGTTGAGTCGTGGTGGCCCCACAACTCGTGCCAGGTGGAACTCGTCGAGTTGAGGGAATGCTCGACGTGTCAAGGGAGGATTCCAGGGAAATTGGTGTACACGCCCAGACTCGCCGAGTCGCCTGGGTACTCGCCGAGTCCGGTCAAAGTTGACCGTTGACCAGCGTTGACCTAGATTGACTTGTTATAGTGTGGTCAACCCTAGTTGGGAAAGTGTTAATTAGAGGTGTATTGTGCTATAGGGGGACGACAGCTCGACAGGTCGAGTGATTAGCGATTTCAGGTTTACGATTTACCGAGACACGCGAGGTGAGTCTTCTCACTATACTTTACCTTGAGTAGGTAACCAGAGTTATGTGATAGAGTATTTGTATGCTATGTATGTTATGTGTTGTACTGCATTACTTCTATGTGTTTGATGCTGTGCATGTTTACAGAGTTAGAACCGGAAGGTTCACAGAGTTAGAACCTGAGGGTTCACAGAGTTTGGGTGCACGGACCCACAGAGTTATAGCCTCGAGTGGCTAATATGTGTTATATGTAGTATTTTGGGGAACTCACTAAGCCTTGTGCTTACAGTGTTGATGTTATTGTTTCAGGTACTAGTGACGACCGCGGGAAGGCGCCGGCTTGATCCGTACACACACACATTCGGAGCTTGATATCATGATCTTGGGATTTTGTATTGTCTTGTTTGGATAATTAAAATGGTTGTTTAATGAATATCAATGGAATTATGTTTTATAAAAATTGAAAAATTTGTTTTGAAAATTTCCGGTGTTACACGTCGAGTTCCCAAACTACATGTCATCGCGATTTGTTGAACTGACTCATCGAGTCGTCCTCAGACTCGCCGAGTCCTGGCATAATCAGAAGAGGGACAAAATCCTCCTACTCGCTGAGTTCCTTAATTAACTCGCCGAGTCCTATGAACATCATCAGGCTTCTTCATCAGACTCACCGAGTTCCCTTATGAACTCATCGAGTCCCTTGCAAATCTAACCTAGTTAACTTTTTTTCACACTTCTACAGCTCCAAAATACAGATCAAAGTCGTCTCCAAGGTCCATTTCTATAAATTTGGAGACTTGATAACTTTGCACACCTTAAATGGGCCCAAACTCAAGTTATAGCAATCTACTTTCATGAACATGGCCATGGCTTGAATGAAAACGGGTTCAAGACTCCTCTTATGACTCTAGAAGCTAAATAGCATAGGAAAAAGGGATTGCTTTGCATGCAATCCATGGGAACCAACTTATCCTTCTCAAAAGGTTAAAAAGACCCATAAACCACTAAACAAAGAGATATAGGTTATGGGTTACCAAGCTAAAAGCTTTTTACTTCAGAAAGTTGTCCAAGATGGTTATACTTCTGGATCTTGTTCTTCTTCCACAAACTTGCAAGCTCCAAGCTCTTCCAACTATTTTCAAAACAAAAAAACACACACAAAAACTCAAGGGGGGAAGCTCTCAATCAAATTAGGGTTTCTAGAGGACAGGGAGGCTGATAAGGGAGGCCTAAAAGGGGTTTAAGTGGTTTAAATAAGGTGCATAACTCCAAAAATAGGGTTTCCTCCTGGCAGACCTACTCATCAAGTACATGCTTGGACTCGTCGAGTAGACCCTTTAAACCTCACGTCCTTTCTAGCATTTACTCGACGATTTAGGGCTACCAACTCGTCGAGTAACACAAAATAAATACTTTATTAATTAATACTTGCATACCAGGGATGTGGCATTACATAAAAGGAACGCCAAAATCTGACTTCGTATGAGGAAGTTATGATTTTTCTAAGATTTGGCATAGCAATACACAACCCAGAATTCGAATTTTAGATTGAGTGGTTTTGGGCCAATGCAACCTAAATGAGAATTGAATATCTCATTACTAAGAGCTCAACAATAAAAAGAGAGGAAGACGGAGTCTGTATGTAGAAGTTATGAATTCTACACAGTCATTTAACAATGTAATCTTCTCATACTGTTAAATTTAAAATCGGCCGAGAATTAGCCGACAGAGTCAAAAGGAGAGTTGTAGATCTTGTCAATACCTATGCATGGATATAAAGCACGCCAAAAATGAAGCTTATATGCAAAAGTTTTAGGGCTTAGAAGTCGAGAGTGTGCTACTGCGAAGGGGGTGACATGGCGCAATCTGAGCCATTGTTTTCTCCCCAAGTCTTGCCACCAGATAGTGACATGTGGCACCCAACTCGATGAGTTGGAGGCCCAAATCTACGAGGTCAGCTGTATTTTATCCTATCAATACCATGAGAGAGTGCCTTCATTCTTCACACCAAAACCCACTTCTCTCTCTCTCTCTCTCTCTCTCTCTCTTTCTCTCTCTCTACACACTCTCTAAACCCCGAAAAACCCTCCAAAAGCCCTAGTAGCCTCAAGACACTAGAGGAAAGCCCCGAAGCACCCGTCGGCTCTGAGAAAAAGTTGTCTCGGCTCATAAGCTCTACTCTAGTGGAGCCCGATTTTTAGCAAACCCCGCTATAAGTGAAATACGCCTACTATACTTTAAATATATTTTATATTTAAATAAAATATCATTATTATGAACCTATAAATAAGATTTATCAGTGATTTAAAGTCATTATACTGATTGATCTACTTATGGGGATGATGTCTAGGCTGTGATTTAGTGAGGTGTTTAAAGTGGTATTTCCAAACAGTATACTTCGTATACCAAACAAACCCTTCCTCCGATATGATCCTACCTGGTTGTTCCTTACTTGATAGATCATGAAGTAGACTTTGAGTTAATGACGAATCTAGACAAATAATTAGTCGCAATAAAGGATAGACTAAAACTTAGTGATAATAATGCTAGGTTTCGTCGAAGTAAAATAGAATCGTTAGAAGTGAGGCGCTCCCCGAGTTTGGAATCATCACTTTAACAAGTGAGTGCATACTTACTTTCATCTTATACATAGATATGAAGTAGTTTATATAAATTACATGCTATGTGTGCATAATGTCTAAATACTTGCCGTTTATGTTGGATGAAAGATTTACACATGTTTTAAATGATTTAAACTTACGTGTTTTATATCTGCAAAATGTGTTGGTAAAACATGGGTATATGTAATAGTTGGTTGTGATGAAATAAAATGATAAGAGGCCTCGATGTTGATGATGTTTCCAGTCATCTAGTGGAGTATAGATGACGAACACACACTTTTTTAGACATTCCAACGGAACGCTAGGAGGCTCGCAACCTGTAGGTGTTTGTGAACAATATGTTCACCGGTGTACTCTATCCCCCTCATGGTTGCCTTTAGGACATTTATTACTGAGGAACCCCCTTAGCAGTAGTGTCCATCCTGATGATGATCCTTAGGCTAGGTCCCTTATGAAAGATGTTTAGAGACGTAAAGTGAGGATAACGAGAACGGGTAATCGGGTTATTGTTGGTTGATGAAATTAATTAATTTACTTATTGTAGGTTGAAAACCCTATATGATCACTAGGGTCCCATGCCTAACCCACTCAGTATCTTGTATTACAGGTAGTGACACTCGAGCATAGATGTGATGTGTGGATGAGGGATTACGGATTATAGGCTTGCAGATATAAATAAATGTTGTAAGGCATTATAAACATTAACCAACAAGAAATTACTAGAATCCGTAAGAACATGACATCCCGACGAACCCCCTTACAGATTTATATCTGCAAGCCTATAATCCGTAAGAACATGACATCCCGAGGTTATATCTTTATCAAACACAAGACATTAACCAACAAGAAAAGTCTAAGGCATTATAAACAAACGATGAGTTCCAGCTTCATCTATGCATTTTACAACGTGCAATCAATGACACGCGCTGATAGAGGACACACATTTTGGTGTGCCCTAAAATTTGATGTTAGTTTTCCAAAATATGAAGCATAGAGGACACGTATTTATATGTGCCCTAAAATTAGTGCCCAACAAAAACAATAAAAAACACGGAGGGCACCTACTATAAAAAAGTGTGTCGTGTAGAACTGTCGTTTTATAATTTTTTTCATCAACGCGCGTTCTTCAATTTTTTTATTGCCAAGGGGGAATCAAATACCAAAATATTGAACCCCCCCGGATACTCTCCTCCTTCTGCGTATGTTGTGAAATCCACTTCGGTCAAAAGAAACCCTAAAAGCATTGTGTGGGTTCCGGATATTCGATTTTTAGTTGTGAAGTTCCTGAAATCATATTTTTGGTTTCGATATGAGATTTTTCTAAATTGGTATTTGGTGTGTAGAATATCGATATTTTCAATGCGGCGAGTGAATCAGGAGCGAGAGGTCCTCACTGTTGTTTCCAACTGCAAATGACTTGGCAAACGAGTTTGTTATTGAAGAAACGAAAGAACGGTCCTCCGTTAGGGTTCAAGAATCTCGGTAATACCTACTACCTCAACGCCGTTATCCAGTGCTTAACCTATACTCCTCCCCTCGCCAATTTCTATCTCCGACTTCAACACTCCAAAAACGGTATGTGCTCTTCTTCTACTTACCCACATACGCACACACGCACGCTAGCGTATCTAAATTTTCAAGAATTTTAACCTAATTTTTTCATTGCGTTCGGTAAATTGTTCCACTTCGTTAACATAAATTTCCCTAATTCGACAGGCGAGTTCCTAGCGCAGCAGGACAAGAAGAGTGATTGTCCGTTTTGTCTGCTGGAGAAGAGAATTGTTCGATCTCTTAGCATCGACTCAACCCTAGATACACCTGGTAAGATCATTGGGGGATTGAAAGTCTTTGCTGAGCATTTTCGTTTAGGGAGGCAAGAGGATGCACATGAATTCCTTCGGTACATCATTGATGCTTGTCATATCACATGTCTTCTTCTGAAGAAGTTGCAGCAGCAAAGACGGAAGTATGTCAGCAATGGAGGAGGTGGTGGCTTTAATGGCAGCACAGTAGTTAAGAAGATTTTTGGAGCATAGTCACATAAATCGCTGGGTCAGGTGCGATCTACGTACCAATTTGCCCATACCAAAACGCGGTACGAACGTGTACCTGGGACGCTCGGGATCACGTTTCTAAACCTGAAATTGGCGTTCCAAAATTGCAATTCAATCGTACCTGATGCTATTTGGATCACGACTTCCTTGATTCCAAAACGTGTTTGCAATCGCTTGGGTACGTGACTGGGAATTTGACAAGTCAGTTAATTGGCATACGTTTCTCTCTGTACTCGATCGCATTATGAGCGATCCTTTAAAATTGAGTTTATAGTCTGTAATTTGGCTTCCCCCCCATCACAATTTTCATTCAATTTAATTTCCAGAACATGAAAAATCAGATTTCATTTTTTTTTTTGATTCTTGATTACAAAATCATGGTTTTTGGAAATAAAAGAAGTACAAATACCTTTTTGTAGTTGCTTGACTGCTTTTGTGCCTTTCTCTGATGGGTGTGTGAGAAGAACGAAATTCAACTGTGTAATTAAGGAAGAAAAACATGGATTCATTGAAGGTTATGTCCCTATCAATTATCTTTCTGCATTTCCTTAATCTCAAACTCGGGAATCTGAATTGGCTGAGTCAACACTTTTTACTTTTGATGTTTTTTGAACAGTACAAATCGTTGGAAGCAATGGTTAGTTTAATGAAGACAGATCTATCAAAGTCTAGCTTAGAAGCACAGTTATTGGAAAAAGTTGGGTGAGAGGAAGGGGTAGTTCAGAAACTAGAAGGGCATACTGATACGGTTATTTCTGTAAATTGACAAGTAAGCATCATCTTCCTTTTACTAGAGGATTTTTTTTTTTTTTTTTTTTTTTTGCCATGAAATTAATATTTTCATTTTTAGTGCACCTGGAATGTTATTAAATTTTCAGTTTTGGCCTCAAAATCTTACTCACTTCGGGTAAAATCATTTATGTATATTGGTTTGAAGGTTATTTGTAAGAGTTGACATGAAATTGGATGTTTAGAACTGAACTATTATGAAACTGTGATGTTTCAGGTAGATTGTTGATGAATATAGCTCAAAATTAGAGGGTTTTTTTTTTTTCTTTAAAAAGAAGTTCTCATTAAGGCGCTAGGTAGATCATTAAACTTTGATGGAAATTGATTCTTCCATCAATATGAGAGAATCACACAGTCACACCCTCCTGCTGACATGGATTATAAAAAAGATCAAGTTTTAAAGCTTCTACTTACTTTACTCAAAATAGGTTCACAACATTATGGGAAATTACGTTCTCCTTTTGGCACCGATACTACATCAAAGGTAAAACATTCATCTTTTTATTAATTTCAGTTTGCCCAAAGTCCTAATAACAAACAAGGGTATTTTTGTAATTTAACAGGAAAACAACGACCCTGATGTAGCGGTTGCTACACTATTTGCATCTGCAAAGAAACACTTCTCAATATGGTGCTTATGGAGCTTTCGCTAACTGCTTGCAACAGTTTCCACCAGAAGGACAAATTCGGGTATTTACCTTATTTCATTTATTCACATAATATTAAAAAAAAAAACATCTTTTTTATTGATTTCTCTTTATTTTCTTAGGCAACTGCTGCTGAAGTCCAAACTCTGCTTGTTTATGGGGGATTGCCTTAGTTCTTGCAGCACAACTTGGTGATCACGTTTCTCTCTCTCTCTCTCTCTCTCTCACACACACAAACACACACACACACACTGAAGGGAAGCAAAAAGAAGTTATTTTATTTAAAATGTTGTGTATTGCAGTTCAATGTGGATTGTGTTAGGAAGATGGGTGTTAATCAGCTAGTAGCAGGGCCAGTTACCATATTAGTAAATTTTCAAATGATGACATCAGCTTATTGTCAAAATTACTGAAATTATGGCCAGTTTCCAGGTTAGCATCTTTTGAATTATGTATTATGAATTATTAACCACCTCTAAAACTTTTATATAACAAAATCATCAAATATTTTTGCTGTTACTGACATATTAAGGATGGTCATTTTACATCCAGACGAATCATCTGTATTGAAACGTGTTAGTCTACTTATTGCTGCTCAATCTGCAGATGTATTTTCAACCGACACTACAACAGATAGTGCCACCGTTGCTGCTGTAAATATATCACAGGTAATAATAATAATAATAATAATAATAATAATAATAATAATAATAATAATAATAATAATAATAATAATATTAATATTAATATTAATAATATTTTGCGAGACCAATTGACAGCTTGTTGCTTCAACACTTGAAGGAAGAACTGGTACCCTGTACTCGAATATGTATAAGATCATTTGGTTTTTTAATCTTCCAAAAGTAACTATTTTTTATTTTATTTCTATTTTAATATTTCATTGGAATTTAATTTATTATAATCCTTTATTATTTTCAACGGATTTTAAAAGTGACTATATATGTATATGTTAACGACTAGTACAAAATGACTATTTTATTCAATTTAGTCATTTCCAAAAGTAATTATTTTTTATTTTAGTTAATATAACAATGCATCCTACTTTTTTTCTTATTACATTTTGAAAAATCTACTCGTTTATAGATTTTTTTCTATTATATTTTGATTCCTACCTACTCTTTGATATCAATATTCTGGATTTAACATCTTTTGTTGAGGTTATTCTTACACTTTTTGCATTCAAGTGTATGTCTCCATCAAGTAATTAATTTTGATCATGTATCTTTATTGCTATTAAACACTACTATAGATTATAGAATCCTGATACATTAGTAATAATCATTCTTTTAATGTTTTCAGCTACTAAACACTACTATAGAAGACGAGGACCCTGCTGTGTTTACAACCGACACACTGGTGGGTGTATCTTGTAATTTCTTGATGTATATTTTAGGCTAAATGTAACACTGATTTTTCAAACAAAATTTTTTGATTTTTATAAAAGCATAATTCCATCAATATTCATAGAAACAACCCCTTTTAATTGTTCAACAAGATATTACAAAATCCCAAGATCAAAATGTCAAACTCCAAACGTGTGTGTACGGATCAAGCCGGCGCCTTCCCACGGTCGTCACTAGCACCTGAAACAAATAACATCAACACTGTAAGCACAAAGCTTAGTGAGTTTCCCAAAATACTACATATAACACATATTAGCCACTCGAGGCTATAACTCTGTGGGTCCGTGCACTCAAACTCTGCGAACCCTCAGGTTCTAACTCTGCGAACCCTCAGGTTCTAACTCTGTGAACCTTCCGGTTCTAACTCTGTAAACATGCACAGCATCAAACATATAAAGTAATGCAGTACAACACATAACATACATAGCATACAATTACTCTATCACATAACTCTGGTTACCTACTCAAGGTAAAGTGTAGTGAGAAGACTCACCTCGTGTGTCTCGGTAAACCGTAACCCTGAAATCGCTAAACACTCGATCTGCCGAGCTGAAGTCCCCCTATAGCACAATATATCTCTAATTAACACTTTCCCAACTAGGGTTGACCATACCATAACAGGACAATCTAGGTCAACGCTGGTCAACGGTCAACTTGACCGGACTCGGCGAGTGCACTATAGCGACTCGGCGAGTCTGAGCGAAATCACCAATTTCCCTGGAATCCTCTCTTGACACGTCGAGCATCCCTTCCCAACTCGACGAGCTCCACCTGGCACGAGTTGTGGGGCCACCACGACTCAACTCGCCGAGTCTCAAGAACGACTCGGCGAGTCCGGTTTGACTCGGTCCACCTGTCCATCCTGACTCCCCCTTGACCCACTGAGTTCACTCATCCCAGCTCGGCGAGGCCACTCGCTGAGTGGTCGTGCAGCATTCAAGCTACTCGCCGAGTCTGTTCTTCGGACTCGGCGAGTCAGAGCCATGCACTGACTCAATCTCGCTCTAAAGGCCAGATCCAGTCCACTAATCCATAGATCCAGTCCCCCCATGCTTATTTAGCACGTAAAGTCACAATCTTGATGCATAAATAACCTCTACATGATCACAAATGATGTTTTTGACTCTACTACTTCAACACAAGGCCAAGGACTCCATTTCCACCCATAAAGCTTGATGAGTGAGGCCCTCTGGACCTCTATGGATCCAGATCCATGGTCTCAACTCAAAGAGGGAACAAAAGGGCACCAAATCACCCCATAAATGATCATATTAAGCCCTAACTTGCATCAAGTTTCACCAAACAGAAAATGGTCCGAAAATATTACCTTTAAAGTGATGATCCAAGCTCCAAATCCACGAAATAGCAACCTCCTTTGCCTCCTCTTGCCTAGAGCCTCCTTCTTCTTGCTAAACAATACTCACAAGGTCAAGATTTGCTCTCAATCCTTCACCAAACGCTCAAGAACTCTAGGGACACACTCTGGGGGTTGGATGAGCGCAAATGACGGCCAAAGGCCCCTTAAATAGGCCACAAACCCGGGGATTTAGGGTTCCATAACACAGCGCAGACTCGCCGAGTCCAAGCGCGCACCTTCGCTCAATCCCGCGTCCCTACTCGGCGAGTCTGAGCCCTGACTCGCCGAGTCCCTCTTACAAAATAATACAATTAAACTTACATTATACCTGGTAAAATCCGGATGTTACACTAAATGCTGCTTTCCTTTTTTTTTTTTTTTTTTTTTTTTTCTGATGATGTATTTTTTTTGGTAGTTTGTTGCTGGTTGTGGTAGTTTTTTGAGGGGACCAGAGGATAGATGCATGAGTTACTGTGTGTGACTTTGGCTTCTTAGCCAAAACCAACTAAATTTACTACGATCTGATCTACCTCAACTTCAGGTAATCTTGCTGTTTTTGAATTTTTTTCATATAGTTTGGAATAAGAAATGTCTTATTTCGACCTCAATTATGATGCAGGAAGTTGGAGAAAAGGGTAATTCCATCTTTTACAACTACTATTCCATGTTTGATTCTTCTAATAATTATATTAGCATATTAATTTTTTAACTTTTATTTGATCAGGTCACAAGAATTATCAGAGCAGGGGTTCATTAGTCTTAAAGAATTATGAAAGGCAAGATGCAACTCTACTTAGCTGGAATTTGAAGTTTATCATCTTTGTGTATATCTTTTTAGTTTGTATAGCACTACATTGCAGAAGGTGTCCCTTAATAGCAATGTAGTCTTAGGTTAGATAGTTAGGGTAAACCTCTTAATAACAATGTACAATTAGATCCCCTTAATATCAATGTATTACAATTTTTTGACATGATGTTATTGGACAAAATTGATTGTTTTTGTATATATTTGTTTACATATTTTTGTATTATGCGTAAATAAGTATCGTAAAGACGCGTTGTAAATGCATATAAAAAATGGTTACTGAAGTTTATGACACACAAATGCGTGTCATCTTCATTTTTGACAAGGGCTTCCTTGATACGCATTGTGTGTCATAAACACGCGCGCCGTAAGGTTACGACACACAAATGCATGTCGTCTTCCTTTATGACAGGGCCTTCCTTGATATGCATTATGTGTCATAAATGTGCGTCGTAAATACGCATCATAAATAGACGACGCGCAAAAACGTGTCGTCTCTCGTTATGACAGGGCCTTCCTTGAAACGCATTTGCGCGTCGTCTGATCGTTTTACGACACGTATTGCGCGTCGTAAAAGGCTGTTTTTCTAGTAGTATAACTACTCATACTAACAAATAAACTAACACAGGTCATAATTGAAAGCATCATAAAGTACCAAACTAGAGAGTAAGTTATGAACTTCTTATTCTTCCTTGGTTTTCAAACCAATTTCCAAGCCTTCTAACCTTCTAAATATCAACTTCTGGAAACCTTTTTTCACCAACCAACCTCCCAAATTTGTAGAGATCAAGGGTATTTATAGTTGTCATGAAATTACATTCCGCGTCGTGGAATAGTGCTCCACATCGTGGACATGGATGAATCCTTATCGGGCAAGGATTTCGACTTTGCGCGTACTCTTCTTCCAGAATTTTCCTTTTCCACGTCGTGTAAGTGATATCCACGACGTGGACACAACTATTTCATAGGTTTTATCTTCTTCAATCTTCCAAGACTCCAAAGTTTCTTCTTTTTCCACTTTTAGTCCTTATTCTTCAAAATGACTTATTTTGGCTGCAAAATACAATTTAATCTTATAAGTACCATTATTCCATGCAAATAACCAATAATATGTACAAATATGTATTTAAATATAGCCTAAAAGTATGTATAAATATGGCAATATCATATGTTATCTTTGTCGTATCATGTCGTGTTTTTTATCATTTATTTGGTTCATTTTCGGGTTAGTTAAAAAAAAATATGACATTGTGTGTTGTCGTGTTCATGTTACATGAAAAACTTGTCGTGTCATGTCGTGTCAGACAAAAACACGACACGATGGCTTGATTTGCAACCCCTGTGCATGTGTAGAAAATTTTTTGAACATCAAAAGCGATGTTCAGGTGAGTGAACGTTAGGTACTGATGGTCGTCCATAAGACTGCATAAATAGCCATCGGGTCAACTACAGGAGGACCATCATGAGAGAACTTCGTATGAGACTCGTCTGGGGTACAACAAGAGTTGCACGTTGCCATGTGAGCATGATACAATAAATCCAACCATATTTTCCTTGAGAAAGTAAAACACCCGATCTGTTTCGGGTGGCTAACTCAATAGCTTGGAAATGGTGCTCTAAAGGAGATCAGATGTGGTACCGAACCATGAATAGGTATCGAACCATGGAGAAGTACCAAAATTGGGATAGGCATCGAACTATAGAAAATTACCAACCTTGAATAAATACTAAACCATGAAGAAGTAACGACTAAGGTACATTATGTCGTCACTACTGTACCAAAGGACATGGGAACTCAAAGAAATATAACATGTCTGATAATAAACTATTGACATATCCTTACACGAGGAACAACTATTTAACGGCTATCAAGTACATAAACATGTACCTTCAGGCATTTAGCCATAAATGTGACAAGACGGTGAACTTACTCGATATGGGAAGAGGTTTTCACCCCCTCACCATGACTATACATAGGTAAACCAAACTATCTTCATACAGCACGTGAAAAACACTCAACATACTAAACGATCCAATAAGCTTTTTTTACTTCAAATAATACCTAATATTCTTTACTGAGTTTATCATAGGAGTGTGACTCGGGATCCCTCCCAGTTACCGGCTTATCAATTGTTTGCATTTCCAGGCCAATTAGCAATTGAGAGCTTATACACCTAGCTTAACCAATAAAAGATGGACCCAGTGGTGCATCACATACCTTCCATTCCATTCATGTAATTCATAAATGCATATAAGGATAATACAAATGGGTCTATTGTAACATCTAATTATCTATGTATTTGTTTTAACCCTTGAGTTGTGCTTTATTTACAAGTTCGGTCCCCAATAGCAATTTCATAATTTCGGAGTTGGCTGGAGTACATGGGACATACATGTTCGTACACAGGGTGTACCGATGTTCGCATTAGTACAATACACGTACGATGGTATGCAGGGCGTACGTATCCAGGTGCAAACCCTAAATTTTAGGGTTTAGGCCCTATTTAAACACATTTTTGGCCACATGCATCTTCTTATCTTCAGTCTCCTTCCTCATTTCGAAGCCCTAAAGAGTTTTAATGTATTATAAAGCTTGTAGATCCTTTTTTGGTGCCATTTAGAGCTTTTGGAGTAGAAGGAAGACAATTGAGGTGGTGGTGTTTCACTCAAGGATTTGGATCCAACATGTTGTTACCCTTGTGCACCTTGTGGAGGTAAAAAGCTTCAACCTTGGTGTTGAAGTCTTATGGATCTATTTTTAGCTCAAAGTTGTTCCCCTTTTTGTCCCAAACTTGGTCTTTGTGAGTAGAAGGTAGTCCAAGACATTTGAGTTGTCCTTTCAGAGAGTTGAGGGGTGTTAACTCATAAAGTTAGGTTTTTTTTTCATTAGTTTCTCTCCATGTAAGTGCTAGGTTGTCATAATAGGTTAAAAGACTAGGATTTTTGGAGTTAAGGTATTTATAGCTATGCTAAACAATAAAATTGGAAACTTTATGGTTAGGAACATCTTTTGATGTCTAGATCTGAAATTTAGACATGAATGCTTAAGGAATTAAGCAGTTAATAAGAGCGGTAGTGAGCAACTGTATACGTTAGGCGTACCGAGGGGTACATTGTGCATACGAGGTCAAATCACTGATCCTCGATCAACTGCGAAATACGCCCTGCGTACTGACTCAGTCAACTCGGTAGACTCAGTTGACTTTGACCACATTTTCTAGGGCTTGACCTAGGGGTATTTTAGGTATTTTGGCCTATAAGCTGAGTTTGTGTTATTGAATTTATTAAGGTGACTGGTAAAGTTAATCAAGGAGCATCATGCTATTCAGTTTTCTTATCTTTCCGTGAGGTAAGTTTTCTCACTATATCCATGGGTTGAAGACACCAATATCGTCCCATTACTTGGTATGTAGTATGCTAGTTGTCTTTGTGATAATTTCATGAAAGAACAGGATTTGGCCCCTGAAAACTATATGAAAGACCAAGATCTACCCCTGGCACTTGTATGTAAGATTGGGATTTGACCCTCGGCATTTCAAGCAAAGACCATGGGGGTAGCCCATGACACTCATATGTAAGACCGAGATTTGGCCCTCAACATTGCAAGGAAAGACCATAGGGGTATCCCATGGATCTTGTATGTTTGTGTATGTGGTATTTTAGGGAATTCACTAAGATTTATACGTACATCTTACGTTTATGGGTTCAGGTACTTCCGATTGTAAAGGAAAGGGTCCTACGTGATGGCACAGCATCCTCCCATCATGGTTTCCGCATTTGAAATAATTTGTACTCCAAAGCATTTAAGTTGTCCTTTCAGAGGTTTTGAGGGGTGTTAAGTCATAAAGTTTTCCATTCAGAGTGTTAAGTCATAAAGTTGTCCTTTCAGAGGTTTTTAGGGATGGAAAAAGAAATCGAACCTAATTATGAAAACCGAAAAACGACATATTAGTGTCAGGTTTGGGGTTAGTTAATCGAGGCCAAGATCGGGTTTGGTATGTTTTTAGAAAATTTTTGTGGGTTCGGTTATGGGGATGGTAAACATAATACCCGCCCCGATTAACCGAAACTGAAACCGTAACCCGTTACCTGAAATCATTCATATTATATACACACACACACACACACACACACACACACATATATATATATATATATATATATATATATATATATATATATTGATTTCCTTGAGTTATCTTCTTTGTTGTGAACGATTTGAAGATAATTTCTTAAGATAACTTCCTATTTTATTTGTAGTGCTAGTGTTTTGCCATTTTTTTATTCATACTACTTATAGTAATAGTGATATTATGATTTATGAATGCTAGTGATTTAAATGTTTTTTTGCTGCTAGTAACCACTTATGTATCACAACATACATCTCTTTTAATGGTTTTATACATTATCAAATTTATTTTGGATATGAATTTATGCTTGCATCACTAAGTCTAATGATTTTGTATTCTCATTGCATCAAAGTTAGATATTCGTTACCTTGTTGGGATACCCGTAGACCCGATAGTGTTATGTAAACGGGTACCCGTCTGAGATCGGGCCGGGGATGCGATCGGTTTTCGTATTCAGGGATGGGGCCGGGATTATCACAACTCATCCAAGACCCGCCCCATTACCATCCCAAGCCCTGTGTACTGACTGAGTCAACCCGATTAACTTTGAATGGATTTTCTAGGGTTTGACCTAGGGGTATTTTAGGTATTTTGGTCTATAAGGTGAGTTTGTGTTATTGAATTTATTAAGGTGATTAGTAGAGTTGATTTCGGAGCAGTGTGCTATTTAGTTTCCTTATCTATCTGTGAGGTGATTTTTCTTACTATATCTAGGGGTTGAAGGCACCAATGCTGACCCATTACTTGCTATGTGGTATTCTAGTGGTCTTTGTGATAATTACATGAAAGACTAGGATATGACCCCTAGCAATTGTATGAAAAACCAATATCTAGACCTTGACACTTGTATGTAAGACTGAGATTTGGCCCTCGACATTACAAGCAAATACCATGGGGGTAGCCCATGGCACTCATATGTAAGACCGGGATTTATCCCTCAACATTACAAA